TGCATGCATTTGAATTAGTAAAATCTCGACCATCAATTTGTTTGATGCAATCTCAATTGTTACTTTTCTCTAACATGAACATGTTCTGTGAGATTCCTTACGCGTGAATAATGCATATGTTTGAATCAATATAATATTGATCGTCAATTTGTTTAGTACAATCTTAACCACCACTTTTATTTGGAACAAATGATCAAGTCTATAGGATTTTTGACATTTTTGACGTGTGAATAATGCATATGTTTGAATTGGTATGTGATGGACTCCTTCCACCAAGGGGATGATCAAAACGTTCAATGGTGAAGAGAAGCTCTTCGCCAAGGCCAAGATGGTGACCTTAGAGGGTGGACATTCCTTCAAGGGTGAGGCTAAGTGATGGTGGGCGTGAAAGGTGGAGTCTTGGGCGAATAGGAGGAAGGTTGGGAGGATGGTGTTTTTGAGTGTTCTAGTTGGCTCTCTTCATCAAGTGGAGATGAAGGCCACTCAAGGGAACCCTAAACTCACTATAGGGAGGAGATAGGACAGGTAGGCCGTGTAGACCTAGTGACTATGGAAAGGATTTGAGGCAAAAATCTCAAATTCATATAATCCAAAGTGTGTACAAGGTGCTAGGCTAAGGGTACTTATAGGAGTGAGAAGGCATCTAGGGTTGCATGGCCGTGTAATGTAGCCCAAATGCAAGCCAAATGCAACCTAAAAGAACCTTAGATGATGTGTGGGTTCCTTCCTACCAAAAGACCAAAATACCCTTTGACTTAAAAATGAAAAAAAAAATGGACTTTGACCTCACAAGTCAAGGTTTAAGCCCTAAAATAAATCCTAAACTAATTTGCCCCATAATACAAAGGCTAAATCAAAATACATAATAAATTCCTATTATCTAAAGTACCCCCAAAATACAAGGGTAAAAAAGGAAATAAAGTAATAAAATCCTATACTACTCAAAATGGACCTAGGAGATGGATCAATACTCCACACTCATGATGAGTATGGCTTTAGGCATGGTATCTCCTTCAGCTTCTTCCATTCTCCTAACCATGAACCTAGTAATGGGTTCAACATGAAGCTCCAAGAGTGGCCCTCCATCAATATGATATGGGACATTGCTTTTTTTTTTTCAATGCAATGTTAGGTGTTAGTTGCTAGCACTTGGAACAAATACATAAGGGATTCATAACATGTGAACAGTGATCACGCTCAAATCGGTGTGATCTTGAACGTTAAAATTTTTAGTGCAATGGTTATTTGACATTAAAGACAAATATATATTTTATTAATAATTATTATTTTAACATTAAAATAATTATGATTTCCATTGTCTATAATAATTATAGTAACAGTTTAGAACTTTTATAGATTTTATTAGCATTATCTATTTTATCCACATTTTTATTAAAATATTATAATAATTAATTTTGTAAAGATAATAACTATTCTTATTATTTATATGTACATATAAAAATACAATGTGTCGGTGCATTGAAGTATTTGCCATTATATGTAATATTTGGGATTTGGATTCCCTAACCGTAGGGCGGGAACATTACCATACCGTTCTCTTGTTATAAGCCGTTGGATTATTATGATTAATAAGATATTGACACGTGTTCCGGACTAATTCAGACCTTCCATTAACTTCAATTCTTCTTCAAGGGATGACGTTGACGTTGGTTGGAGCGTTCCTCTTCACCTTTTTGTGCTTCTACCGAAACAACAACACATTGAAGATACCTTAATCAGACCCAAATAATAAGCAAAATACCACTGTGGATAAGTAAACTTTTGTATTGATATTGGAAAATAAAAATGAAAAGTTAAAATGAGGTTTTATATGGCAGAATTTTAGCCTTTCCCCATTGTCATTGATAACACTGTTTATTATGCATTAGAGGAGTAATATGCCTTTATTGGTAGTTTAGTAAAAAAATTTAGTTAAATTTATGTGCAAATTTTTAACATACGGTAGAATTTAGATTCTTAGAGCATATATATATATATATATTTTTTTTTTTAAAGATAGAAAAGATTATAAAAATGATCGCGATAAAGATTGAACTTAGATCTTCATGCTTCTAACTATTTCAATCCATCTCCACTCAACTACTAGGCTAACCCTAATGATCTTCTTAGAACATATATGATAACAAGTAATTATAATGTATTTTATTAATAAATAATAATACTTATTAACAATTTTTTATCGAAATTTAATGACATGACACAGAAAACTATTTAAAAACAAACAACTTTTAAATAGGTAATGTTACTTGAGTTTAAAATAATATTTTTTAGTTATCATTTTTTTAACGAACAACAAAAAATACAAACTATTCTCACAAATAAAAAAATAATCATATATCATTAACTCTTTATTATCTACGAATAAAAAATCAGTTACTCATTATTATTATATATTTATCATAATTATGTAAGTTCTTTATTTTTAATATTTAATATTTTTTATAACATTAAATTAATATTGTAATTTTATTATTAATTTTATATGCTAAAATATTATTTATCATTTTTAATTAAATAGATATAATTATAATAATCATATTAATTTTTAAATTGTCAACAAGAAAAATATAAATGAAAATTTATCAAAACATGCGTTGCTTATAAGATTCTATTACTAATATAAAATTTGAGAAAATATAACGTGAATTGTTTAAAAAATAATGTAACATAATAAATATTATTTAAAGTAAAATAAAACTTTTAATAAATTACTTGTAAGAATTATTGTGGAAGGTTCTCGTAGAATGCTGAGTAAGTAATGAAATAAATAATCGCGGATTTTCAATTTTATGTGTAGAAGGTGGCATTGGCCTCTGACTTCTTTTTCAATTTTGTTTTTCTAAAAGTGTCAATGGTTTTTGACACTTTTTTTGTATTTTTATTTTTGTTTTATATAAACCTTGTCTTTTGGAATGTGAATTTTTGAAGAGGTCACGTGTTATTTCAGCAATTTTCAATTTTTTTTATTGCAGCAAATTATAAAAACCGTGTACAAAATGTGTTTGAGAAAAGAAAAAAAAAAAAAAAAGCATAAAGGCACAAAATGTGTTTGATAATAGTATAAAAGAAAAAAATTGTCAATTGGGGGAAGAAAAGAAGCACACGGGTTGTCTTGCTCTTGCTCTTGCTCATCACTGCTAGTTGTGCACTGAGTCTTGTTCAGATCTGCAACCATGCCAACAGATGCGGCTGGTACTCTTCTTTCTGCTGTTCTTGTGAGGGTTATTGAAAAGCAAATGGATGAGTTGAACTATATATGGTTGCAGGAAATAAGGGTAAGCATGTTATTATTACCCCGGGTAGCTGGCAAAAGGGTGAACTTTTGGGGCGTGGTTCGTTTGGATCTGTGTTTGAAGCGATTTCTGAGTAAGCTCCTTTATTTAACTTTTGTTTCCTTCAAGGGACTCAGAATGGGATCTGGTGTATCATTGTTTCTGCAGGATCTATCTATTTTATTCCTATCTTTACTTAGGATCGATAAGATACGAATATACAATGATATCTTAAGAGTCTCTGCACTTTTGTGAATGTCAAAGTATCAGAGGGTGGAAGAATGTTCTTCTTTATGTTTTACTAACAATTGTTGTCTCAAATACCGTTTTCAACATAAATAGTAGTAGCTATTTGTTATGGTGAGTATAATAGGTTGAATTCATTAGGTCTATGTTTCTTGAACTAATAACACTCAAGTTTTCCGTTTGTTGCTAATTGAGGTTATTGGGTGATAGATTTAGAACAAACTGTATAATGAAGTGGAATCAGTTGAAAAAATAGTTATGTAAAAATATTTGAAGGAACAGGGCACAGATTTTGTAAAATAGTGAAAGACACTAGATTGTAATTTTTTCATACACTCAATGCACGGAGGCTATGCCTATTTATAGGCTTGAACCACCGACAATCAAAGGTGATTTTTGAATTTTTTATTATTTACTTCATTCTAGAATTGTGTTCCTAGAATTATCTAATATTTTTTTAATATACAATTAATAGCTTCCTGATGCTTCTCTCTGTTTCTATATGTTTCTAGAATTTAGAAATTTGCAGCATTTTATCACTCCTCCTTGCAAATTTCTATAACACCAAGCATAGTTCGTAGTTGTTCAAACTTTGTTCTCGGTAGTGCCTTTGTAAATATGTCTGCAACTTGATCTTCTGTTGAGCAGTATTCAAGTTGAATTTGTTTAGTTGTTTCTACTTCTCTGATGAAGTGATATTTGATGGCTATGTGTTTCGTTCTTTGATGTTGAACTGGATTCTTTGCCATTGTTATTGCTGATCTGTTGTCACAGTATATAACAGTCGGTCCATCTTGTCGTTCACTCATTTCTTCAAGTATTCTCCTTAGCCATATTGCTTGACTTGTAGTTTCAGCAGCTGCTATATACTCTGCTTCTGCTGTTGATTGTGCAACTGTTGCTTGCTTCTTTGATGTCCAAGAGAAAAATCCAAATCCTAGTGAGAAGGCATATCTTGATGTACTCTTCATGTCGTCTATTGATCCTGCCCAATCACTGTCGGTATAGCCAATCATCCTTGATTTGGTCATGGTTTTATACCATATACCAAGCTCCCTTGTGCCTTGTAGATATCTCAATATTCTTTTTCCTGTTCCATAGTGAATTTGACTTGGCTTCTGCATGAATCTTGATAGAAGACTTGTGGCATACATAATGTCTGGTCTTGTGGCTGTGAGATATAGAAGACTTCCGACTAGACTCCTGTATCGGGAAGCATCAGCTTCTGGTGCTCCATCCACCTTTTGTAATTTCTCATTCGTTACTAGCGGTGTACTTACAGGTTTGCATCCATACATATTAAATTTCTTTAGTAAAGCTACTGTATATTTTTTTTGTGAGATGAATATTCCATCATTTCGCTGACTTACCTCTATACCGAGGAAGTAACTCATCAAGCCACCATGTCCATAACTGCACTAGAATAGCTGAACCACCAATTTTATTGTAATCATAATTAGTTCACACGCACAACTCGCTGTACATATTTGATAGCACGCATGAGCCCCAACTCATATGACCAAAAGCATCAAAGTCTTCTAGCAAACTCAGGTATCTGAGGGATACAAAGGAGCTAGAGTGATAAGTTAATAGATATCTCCCGATCATGCATAAAATGAACGCTCTAGTATGGTGTTCCAACTGTTCCTGGCTATGTATATGCTCAGATACATCAGAGAAGTGTCGGTCAATCCAACTCATCCTCAATCGACCGCCAACAAGCACTAACTCAGGGGGTGTCATGCTAAGAAGGCGTTGTACAAGACCTACCCAATCCATAGTTGCGTATCCAGTAATGGGTGCCCCAAAGATCTTCAACCCAAGTAACATTGCAACATCCTCCAACGTGATAGTACACTCGCCAAAGGGCATGTGAAACGTGTGGATCTCTAGTCTCCATCGTTCAACTAAGGCAGAAATTAAATGATTGTCCACAAGAAAGTAACTGATCTGGGCCACCCCCATAAACCCAGCCCTCTATAGAAGATCCTGAATAGCATTTGGAATTTCAACCTCACGCAACTCTGATTGTGTTGCTCTCCTAACCTTCAAAACCCTATCTTCAGCTCCATTCCATATATGCTCAGATATATGGAATGGTTGAAGCCTTAATAAGGAATCGTCGATAGGTCCTGCATGAACAATCTGTGTAGACATCCTAATACAATTAAACAAAAAAACAAACATAGTATTAAAGTCAAAGAACACATTACTTATATATTTTCTAAATTCCTAATTTGGTCCCTCATAATAATTAAAAATTTTAATTTGGTCCCATACATATGTCGTCCTCCTCCTCCTTCTCTTTCTTTAATGCATTTGGAACGGTATGTTCTAAAACCAGAACGACCCATTTTGATTGCACTCATCGTGTGTTAATTTTGCATCTAGAACGGCCCGTTCTGGTTTCAGAACGAGTCATTCTAGAACGCCAACAAGATACGTATGAGACCACTACTAATTTTATTTTAAATTATAATTTATTACAATATTATATTTTATCTTTCAATCATAATATAATATATTTTAAAAATTAAATTATAAATACAATAAACCAAATATAATACTTGCACTCGGAATCGGAGTTATAGCTGGGTCACCGGGGAAGGAGAAACCATCGACAACGGGGAAGTGAGAGCGAAGATGGTTTACATATGGCGCAAGGGTATGCTGCGTTTTTTGAAAACGCCCCAACCCCCTGCGCATTTTAGCCAGCCCACCTGCCACCTGCACACTTGACAAAACAGACACTTGAAGGCACCGAGGGGGGTGCGCCATCTGGATTACATTAAAAACGCCTGACCCCTAGTTGCGTATCCAGTAATGGGTGCCCCAAAGATCTTCAACCCAAGTAACATTGCAACATCCTCCAACGTGATAGTACACTCGCCAAAGGGCATGTGAAACGTGTGGATCTCTAGTCTCCATCGTTCAACTAAGGCAGAAATTTTTCTAGATCTGAACGTTATATGTTAACTTTGCACCCTAGAACGGCCCGTTCTGATTTAGGAACGACCTGTTCCAGACCAAATATTTTAGGCCCTTTGATTGGTTTGGAACGGCCCATTCTAGTCTAGAACAGCCCGTTCCAACCTACAATTTTAGGCCTTTTAGGAGTCTCGGAACGGCCCGTTCCAATTCGAGAACGGCCCATTCCGAACTTGGGAACAACCCGTTCTAGGCCATTAAAAATAGTTGATTTGGGCTTTTGGGCCCTCTGATGTCCTATCTTGTTGTTTGTATGCCCCCCAGACGAAATTGGGTGTCTACAATCTTATACTTCCATAAAAGTTGATGCCTTCTCAGAAGCTTTTCCTGGCCACTTTTCCATGGGACAAATGATCAATGCCCTTTGATTTTCCTAGGAATGAACAGAGCATCAGCCTTAGGTTTCGTTGGAGTATCTTCATCATCACTAAAGAATGGAACCTGAAAGAGAGCAGAGTAGTCAAGACATATCATTATCAGATCCATAAATGATCATGTTACTATAGAAACCTAGATTGATAGAGCTACAAATACTGATAGATTTAGAACAAATGTATAATGAGGTGGAATCAGTTGAAAAAATAGTTAAGTAAAAAAAGAAAGGATATTTGAAGGAACAGGGCACAGATTTTGTATTAAGTTGAAAAATAGTGTAAAATGTAAGATTTGGTAGTTAGGTGAAAGGCACTTAAGCTGGATTGTAATTTTCAGAAGTACAACCAATGCACGGAAGCTATGCCTATTTATAGGCTTTGAACCACCGACTATCAAAAGGTGATTTTGAGTTTTTTATCATTTACTTCGTTCTAGACATTTGTTTCTAGAATTATCTAACCTTTTTCAATATAAAATGGATAGCTTCCTGATGCTTCTCTTTATTTATATACGATTCTAGAATTTAGAAATTTGCAACATTTTAACACTCCTCCTTGCAAATTTCTATAACACCAAGCATAGTTCGTAGTTGTTCAAACTTTGCTCTCGGTAGTGCCTTTGTAAATATGTCTGCAACTTGATCTTCTGTTAAGCAGTATTCAAGTTGAATTTGTTTAGTTGTTTCTGCTTCTCTAATGAAGTGATATTTGATGGCTATGTGTTTCGTTCTTTGATGATGAACTGGATTCTTTGCCATTGCTATTGCTGATCTGTTGTCACAGTATATAATAGTCGGTCCATCTTTTCGTTCACTCATTTCTTCAAGTATTCTCTGTAGCTATATTGCTTGACTTGAAGTTTCAGCAGCTGATATATACTCTGCTTCTGCTGTTGATTGTGCAACTGTTGCTTGCTTCTTTGACGCCGAAGAGAAAAATCTTGATCCTAGTAAGAAAGCATATCCTGATGTACTCTTCATGTCATCTATTGATCCTGCCCAATCACTGTCGGTATAGCCAATCATCCTTGATTTGGTCATGGTACCATATACCAAACTCCCTTGTTCCTTGTAGGTATCTCAATATTCTTTTTCCTGTTCCATAGTGATTTTGACTTGGATTTTGCATGAATCTTGATAGAAGACTTGTAGCGAACATGATGTCTGGTCGTGTAGTTGTCAAATAAAGTAAACTTCGAACTAGACTCCTATATCGGGATGCATCAACTTCTGGTGCTCCATCCACCTTTTGTAGTTTCTCATTCGTCACTAGCGGTGTACTTATAGGTTGCATCCGTACATATTAAATTTCTTCAGTAAAACTTCTGTATATTTCTTTTGTGAGATGAATATTCCATCATTTCTCTGACTTACCTATATACCGAGGAAGTAACTCATCAAGCCAAGATCAGTCATCTCAAAGGTCTTCATCATGTCTTCTTTAAACTCCATCATCATCTTTGTATTGGTTCTAGTATAAATAAGATCATCTACATATAGAGAAAGTAAGAGAGTATGCTGACCTTGAGTCTTGATGTATAGTGTAGGCTCACTCTTACTCCTCCTGAATCCATGATCAGTGAAGTACTGGTCGATCTTGCTATACCATGCTCGAGGAGCTTGCTTCAGGCCATATGAAGCTTTCTTCAGTCTCAACACTTTGCCTTCATGGCCTTTCATCACAAATCCTGGTGGTTGCTCCACATAGATTTCTTCTTCGAGTACGCCATTGAGGAATGCAGACTTGACATTCAGTTGATAGATGTTCCATCCTTTATGTGCTGCAAGAGCTATTAGAGCTCTTATTGTGTCTAGGTGTGCTACTGGAGCAAATGTCTCATTGTAGTCCACTCCTGGTTGTTGTGAGTAGCCCTTAGCGACCAATCTTACTTTGTGCTTTTGTATAGTTCCATCAGGATTAAGCTTTGTTTTATATACCCATTTTACTCCAATGATATCTTTTCCATGAGGGCAATCTACAGGCTCCCATGTATTATTCTTCTCAATTATTTTAATCTCTTCTTCCATAGCCTTGACCCATACTTCTTGGTTTGCTGCCTCTTCAAAGCTTCCTGGTTCAAGTATGGCCAAGTTGCAGGTTTCATATATATCTACCAGTGATCTAACTCGTCTCGGAGTAGACTCAGGTGATGATTTTTCTTGTTGTGGAACTATTCTTGGAGATTCTGGGGAGATAACAATGTCTTGATTGTTGTCTTCTAGACTTGATGTAGTTGGTTGATTGATGGGCATATATATAGTCTTCTTCTCGATTCGCTCTTCTTCCCAATTCCAAGTAGCATTTTCATCTACTTCAATATCTCTACTGATTGTTAGCTTCTTTGTTTGAAGATTGTAGACTCGGTAGCCTTTTGAATGTGAACTGTATCCCAAGAATATGCCTCGTACAGTCTTGTCTTCTAACTTATGCCTTTTTCCATCTGGCACATGAATGTAGCAGATAAATCCAAAGACCCGTAGGTACTTAGTTGATGGTTTCTTCCTGCTCCAAGCTTTTATTAGAGTTATATCCTAAACTGCCTTAGTAAGACATTTGTTGAGTAGGTAGACTGTAGTGTAGACTGCTTCAGCCCAAAATGTATTTGACAGTCCTTTCTCTTTCAGCATCGATCTTGCCATTTCCATGACGGTGCGATTCTTTCTCTCTGACACACCATTTTGTTTTGGAGTATATGCGACTGTAAGTTGTCGCTCTATGCCTTCATCTTCGCAAAATTTGTCAAACTCACGAGATGTATACTCCTTGCCACGATCACTTCTAAGTACTTTTATTTGTTTTCCAATTTGCTTTTCAACAAGGGCCTTGAATTTCTTAAATATTCCAAAGACTTCTGACTTTGTCTTCAGAAAATAGACCCATGTCATTCTAGAAAAGTCATCAATGAAGAGGATGAAATACTTGTTGTTAGTGTGTGATGGTGTCCTCATCGGTCCACAAACATCTGTATGAATTAGCTCTAACAAGTCCTTGGCTCTCCATGCTTTGCTTGTCGAGAACGGCAATCGATGTTGCTTTCCGAGAAGGCATCCTTCACAAGCTTCATTATTTTCCTTTAGGCTGGGTAGATCTCTCATCATACCTTTCTGATGTAGAAGCTTTAAAGCATGAATATTGAAATGGCCAAATCTCCGATGCCAAAGCCATGAGTCGTCAACTTCTATCTTCATGGAAATATTAGTTCCAGATTTGAAGCTTATGGGAAAGCTTCTATTTCTCTTCTCCATTTTTACTTGGCCAACCTCTAACCTTTTACTATCATAAATTTTGCATATATCTCTTTCAAAGAGAAGAGAATACCCATTTTCCATCATCTGACCTATGCTTAAAAGATTTTCTTTAAGATTGGAAACTAGTAAAATGTCCTTGATGAGTCTCGTACCTTTCTTTGTCTCCATCTCCACCATGACAGTGCCTTTTCCTTGAGACTCCACCATGGTGCCGTTTCCCAGTCGAACTTTGACTCTGACGGAGTTATCAATGTCTTTGAAGATGCTTTGGTCCTTGGCCATGTGATTGCTGCATCCACTATCCAAGTACCAGCTTTCTTCTATGCTAGGAGATTCTTGATTAGCATAGAATAGA